TTAATTTGTAAGAGTTACGCGCACACTCATATGGCTTGAATTTACGGATATTTTATTGGCAATGTCCTAGATTTTTTATTGTCAGACAATGCCTTATGGTGCACATGTCTGAGTTATGAAAGAGGAAGAATTGGTGCACGTGAGGACAAATCAATGAACTACCGGACGTCGTCAACCCACTTTGTCGAAACAAACAAATTTTTATTTAAAATGTGACCAACCTAGCTGGCAGATTCACTTTTGCAGGCAGCTTACGAACAGGTTTTTGCCAATTCCTCATTAACTATCCCAAATATTTTCAACAAATTCTGGAGTAGGTGCAAGCCAGGACACTGTTAACACCAAGCGTACACACTGGGAACTATTTCGCTTGCGAGTTGGGTCTAATGGGATCGCCTGGCTTTAAACAAAGCCAAACATTCAGCACTCAAATAGTAAGTAAGACGTCGTAACCTTGTCTCTAAAATTTATTGTCTACAAAAGCTTTACAAAACAGGCAGATAGTCGAAAATCAATCCAGAATTTTGCAGGAATTTACGCAAATTAGGCTTATAAGTTTATGCCCAAATTCAGGATATTTGTAGTGGTAGTCTTTCTTTCTTTATTGTTTTTATTTCAAGCAAAGTAGTTAAGTTCTATTTTGCCACATACCGTTCAGGTTAATTAATAGCGGATCACATCAAATGTGATACATCATTTTTAAGCTAGCCTGTCATAATTGTAATCCCGTTTTCTGCGAACATTGGACTGAAGACAATTTATGTAAGCTTCAAGTGTGAGAACATTAATCTAGCCGACTCACTGGCAGAAGTTTTTATCTTCTTCACATTTTGCTTTCGTGGTGGGATCGAATTTAGGGCGCAACTCCCGCTGTTTTTGGATGCCATGGAAAAAACCTAGAATGCGAATTTTGGGCTTATTAGCTGTCAGTAGCCAGCGATACTTCAATTCCACGTTCTTGTGCACCCAAGGTTTGAACCCGGCTTCCAGATATCATTAAGAATTTTAAGTCCATCTATCCTGGTACTTGAGATATAGTTCACTATATTTAGGGTAATGGGCAATGCCTCTGCCGCTACTCTTTCGCGATCATGTACCACTAACTTCTAGGGGAGCGCCTGTGTCGACTCCATGGTGTTACTTATAAGGAACCATTACCACTGCTCCTAAGACGGTGTGCTAGTGACATCCGTGTAAATGTGCCTATGGTAAGAAAGGCCTGTGTGACATCTATCTCCTGTTTTCTGCTCATAAATATCATGTTCTACTGGCATGACAGAGTCGAGGCGAATGGCAACAAGCACGAGATCAGAGGTCGATAGGGTAAAAATCACGGCTATAGCTATCACGAATCAGTTTTTGAGGGATAGACGGGTCTCGGGACCATCACGTATGCTTGCCATAAAGGCTGAATTGAAGAGGACTTGAGTTGGATCGACTCATCCCGTCGTTTGGCACCAAGTCTTAGTGTGTCAGTCTTAATACGGGTTGAGTGGCTTTAATAATTGGTATCGACTTCACTCCTTTTCCTCTTCCATGTACCCGTGGCATGTCTGTCCCCTACAACGGGCTACGCTGGACCAACACGAAAGCCAGATCATTGCACGGCAAACTTTACTGGTGATGCGCGACCACACATCCGGGCGGGTTTGCTGACACGCCTAGGCGCAGGCTCAAGCCTTCTCGGCCAGCGGCACCCTCTCCTACCTCCAGTGCTTATGATTTGGTCATGAAAACGGGCCCAGACGAATGAGTTAACAGCGTGTGGGATAAATGCTGCGAAGGTCTTCTATCATTATAAACTAATAAGTCACTATCGCTACACCCACTATGTCGTGGAGCGCACGGTGGACGGCCGAACTGTTGCACGCCTGCGTCAAGCCGACCGGAAATGATTAGATCAGGCACAGTGGCTAACTCGGCAAATTGCTTCAGCCAATTGGTGACCCCGGCGCGATCAACTGGCAACCTCCTGAAGTGCCTGAAATCAAACGTCACAAATACCCATTTTATTTCACTTGCCTGTTTTCCTGTGTCACGCATCGTGTCCACCGATAGAAAAACCTAATTTTGTTGACGAATGAAGACGATGTCGTCAATATGACTCATGCGCGCCACACCCATGTGTGGCATCATTTGTGGACACATGCAGACTTGGGAAAACCACTACAACGGTTGAAATGGGTTGGTTTGGCCTAGTTTACCGGTGATACCAGTTTTTGGGGATGGGGGAGTTCATTATCAAACCTATGGTTTCATATAAGCATTCTCCGAGACAGAAGACATCGTTTTGAGTTAGTATGTCGTTTTTTCGAAGTCAGTGTCCGTGTGCTGGTTGATGTTAGCCGGTTTGACCTCATTTTAGCCTAAAGCAACCCAAGTAGCATCTGTATATATACCGAACGGCGAAGAAGTCGTTCAAAATGACAAAGTTCGCAGAAGATTTACAACCACTCGCCAGCCGGCACTAACGCATGTACAGAAAATTAGTAGTAATAATGAACAACCTTAGGCAAATCGAGTAATTAAAAAGATATAAGAAGTGCTAATTTTCTGTTAAGAAAAACGAAATTTTTATAATAGCTCTCAATTTCCTCAGATGTAAAAAAGTTATAAATTAGCTTTTTTTACATTTAAATCTTTCCGTAAGGTGAATGGATGACCTTATAACTTTCTTTATATCCATGGAACTTCTCCTTAATCAAAAGATTTTAAACATATTTCCGTTATTTAATTACAGTTATTTACGGATTGCCCTTTAAATTCTGACAAATTTTTGACGATTTTCTGTGTTTTAAAGCTTTATTTCATAAAAGTAGATTCTGTTCGATGTTCATATCAACACCCTTAAAATAAGATATCTATTGAAAGAATTTACCAAAAATGAGTTTTTGGATATAAGTTCTTGTGGAGATGGCCATGTTGGCCATATTTATAAAGTCCTCCAAACACTAAAATGCATTTTCGAACAAAAAGTGCGTCCGCAACAGAAGTCTGATAGTGTTATTCCTTAGATTAATAAAACATACTTTTTATAATTGGGCACCTCTTTAAAAAGCACTTTAATTAGATATTCAGCTGATGAATATCTACGCATGTTACCTTTTTCCAAGGTAATGTCAAAATGGAAATGGAGATTTTTGACAATTTCTTTCAAGTTACCTGAAGACAAATGATACAAAACTTATTCTAATATAAGTGGTTACGATTTCACCAATTGATTAGATCTATATTAATTGGTCTTATTTATAGCTATTTTTCACGTTTGTGGAAATTGGGAATGCTTCAAAAAGTTTTTTTTGCTAAATTCACCATTAATACTTTTTTACCTTTGCCTGAGGCTGTGCATTATTATTTCGATGTTTTCGCACATGCACTAGTGCCAATAATTAGCAGTCTTTCGCAAATTTCGGCATTCTGTATGACGTTCAGCCCGCGCTGTATGTAATTATAAACAAACGGAGTTCTTTGGGGACATAATGATGTTTATTTTGTAAATTTTCGAGATTGGCCCCCAACTTGTCGTCAGACAAATAAGAAGTATACAAAAACAGCCAACTTAAAACGATGTCTACCACAATATTCTATGGTTGGCTAGAGTGGAAGACAATAAACGTAACCTGTATTTACTTACGCGGTCGATATTGGCTGTTTATGCTTTCATCTGACCTTGAGACATTTGTAATTGGCGTCTAAATCAATAGCCTTTTAATGCATGTGTTATCTGAGTGCGTTGCCTGCAGGAATTCACTACCCTTCATAGTTGAGCAGGCGCCAACGATTTGAGTTTTCTCCCATGTGAATATGTGCCCTGTGTGTGCATGCAACCTTGGTAAAATAGTCCCGTTTCCTCACTGAGAAATGATGTTTATGTACACTGGTGGACAGAGATTTCCCTGTTTGGCTACAAAAGACTGCAGCACAACTGGTGCACGGTATATTGTAGACGATTTCTTTTCTCCTGAAATAGCCAACCCTACCCTTAGCCTGTACAAGGTGAGTGTTTTTAGGCGTGTGCGCAATTTGTATGCAATGTTTTCTTAGCTGTCTTTCAGCAAGCTCAGATACATTGTGTACATATAGGAGGGTTCGCCAGTTCGTTGGTTTTGGCTCTTCAGTATTCATAGCTCTGTAAATACCTTTATATTTGAATTGCTGTTGCCGCACGCATCGAAGAATGAAGTCGCGAGGATTTACATTTTGGGAAAATAGTTTGAAAGGGCATTTCCTAACTGTTCGATATGCTTCTGTGACCGAACAGTGATTTTTCGCTCGACTTAGAAGGCTCTGCGTTTAGAAGACATGGGCTAGGTACTCCCAAGATGTAAGACGCAGTCTATTGTGGCCAAACTGGGAAAGCCCTATCCACCCGTGTACATGAACACCAGTAAGCGGTGAGGAGGCAACACCATCTATCCCAGGTTGAAATGCACACACTGAATACGAAATAAATATTCACATGGCAGAAAACCTATGTCGTTGGTGCTTGCTTAACTATGAATTGCCGTGAATTCCTGCAGGCAATGCACTCAGCCAAGACGTTAATTAATAGGCATGTAGATTTAGATGCCAAGGGCTACTGGCGGGATCGACAGACAGAGAGTCCCGAGGCACAATGGGACTGGTGTGTTCCTTAACCGATGGGTGAGTGCCTATCTACCACTATGTATATTTTTAATTGAATCCGGCAAGGCAACTATTCCGTGGCGCAGTGGTTAGAGTGTTGGACTTCTAGCTAACAAGGTCTTGGGATCGAGCCTCGGATGACACACCACCTGGAGTCTGGCATGGCTAACTAATGACGGCTAGTAAGCCGGAAATGGTCATCCCAGCCGCTCTTGTCTTTTTTCGGTAATGTATTTCTGCCAATATATTCATACATATTTCTACTAAGACAGAACTAAAGCCGGTTTATAAATAATTATCACCTAAATTTCGTCGGGTTTTGCGCGGTTTCGTCAGGTTTCACACTATGCCTTCTTCCTTTTTTAGACAACTTCATGGTGGACGTTTCAAATGAACGCAAAACAGCTCAATCAGTCGCCCCAATAAACCAGGCAATCTTAGAGTCAGTTCTTCAGGCTTACGGCTGCCTTAAGCGAAACGCCGCCAAGTCCTTGCCCCTCATCCCTCACGCAAGCCAGATCGATAGGCCAGAATTTGCGCATCATTCTTTTCCCAGACGCGTCTACGTCTCATCTCAACGATTTCCCGGTCCCAAGTCCATTTTGGTAACTCCTCTTGATAGCTTCCTTGACCCTCCAGCCGCCTGCAAGAACATTGACTACTGTTTTTACGGCGGCGAACTTATAGCACCTCGCAGAGCCGAGAACTACATCTCTGCTCATATCAGCGTCAGCACTCAGTACTCTCGCTCCCACGAATACGAGGACATTCTGCAGACGCCTGTCTCGCGAAAGTTTCCTCTCCTCTACCACCAAACTCGCCAGACAGGCAGTTCAGTACCCCCAAAGAAAGCACCAGCAAGACAGACCAACCCAAAAGTTGGATATCATCGTCAAACGGAGCAGCCGACAGTTAAGGAGGAGCCGGAGGAAATAAGCAGGATAGGTGACTTGGACGTCAGTGAATCCAGCGGTTTGACAAGTGTGCTCCCCCGCTCCCTACCGTCGTCAGCTAGAACACCCTCCATACCCTGCAGTCAAAAGGAGGCTGAGACTAGTCAAATGAAGCGGATCGACTCGCATCGAGGGAGCGCTGACGTAGGTGTTAACAGTGCACGTCGGGAGAGTAGGCAAGACAGTGAAAGGACAATGGTTGCAGAGGCAGACGACCGCGTCTACAACAGTCCCACGATGTACCAAGTCACAAAGGTGCCCGCCCAGTATGCAATCGATTACCTCCAAGACAGCCCTGGAGCCAGAAATGAGGAAATTCCAGAGGTGAAAGATGTTCGTCCTAACCATGGACAGGTTGAAAAGGAGGGACCGCCCAATAGATGGCGGGAGGATGCAGCCAGCACCATCAGTAAGAGGGCCACGTCTGTGGATGAGCTGCGTCGACGTTTCGAGGAATCCTGTACGGTGATTCTTCCGAAGGGCAGCAAACGACCGGTGGGCCTAAAGCAGGCATCCACACTGCCCTTAAACAGAGAGCTGCCCAGTCGTTTCTCCTTAGCCTCACAGGAGGACCGTG